CACAGGCGCAGATCCTGAGCCACAGAGCCACCACTCCGCCCAGCTCAGAAAGTTAAGTTTGCCCTCTGGCTCCGTTAAAGTCGATGGGTTGGTTTTGGATGGTTTTTCTCCAGCTCAGCCCGTTCTGTCTGTGCGTTCTCCCGGAGGATACGAGAGATTTGCAACTCCTTACTGTGTTAAAAGTGACTTCCGCTACTGGTCTAACTGCAGAGAGTGCTGTGGAAGTTTTTCTGAGCTGTAAATCAGGTGTGCACACCACAGTGGTCCCAGTCTTTCAGCAAGTATTACAAATGACCACAAAATGCATTCTAAGACATTTAGATATCATCACATTTATATTTAAACACAGCTTTGCTTGTACAGACAGTACATGAATAAGTATGTAGTTTACATTTAGAAACACTGGGACGTTTCTCTACCAGAGCCTCTGTAGTGACATTCTGAGCCTCTCAGGACGCAAGGCTGTTATTCCTGGCTCCTGGGGGCCCTCTGGGACCTGACGCCCCGTCTCTCTCTCTCGCAGGTCCCCACTGAGAAGTACGTCAAGGTGCGCTTCTCGAAGTTCCTGCTGTCCGAGCCGGGCTCGATGGCGTCTGGCAGATGCCTGAAAGACTACGTGCTGGTGAACGAGGAGAAGTGAGCAGCTGGGGCGCGAGACTGCGGGGGTGGGGGGCACGAGGCTGGGGGGACAGGCGGGGGGGAAGGAGGATCCTCTGTGAGCTACTAGCGCCCGTAGGCCCTGGTCACTCCAACCAGCATTCCTGGGGTGTTGATTGACTTTCCACATGGTGGCCTGAAGGTGGCGCTGGTGCCTAGAGGGAATAACTATCGTCTGCTTCCCACCTGGGCCCTTCCTTGTCGCTCTGTTCCCCACTCTGGTTTTCCCTTCCCGGGAGAGGAGTGCTGTTGACCACACACCTCTCACGGCTGTCTTTAATGTTTTCTCTTTCTTTTGTTAATGCTCTCTGGTTAGAGAAAGTTATGGTTGTTCTTGGTTAAATTCTTGCTATATTATGGCCACAGGTAATGCGCATGTCTCATGGCGGCACTTTGGTCAGCACTGGTTAAACTGGGTTGGTTGTGGGTGACGTGAGGGCCTCCTGACCGCTGGGTGGTTGTGATGGCCTGTCCTCTCTGACGCTGTCTCCCTCTCTCTCTCCGTGTGTGTGTGTGTGAGCCAGGCTCTGTGGAGAGAAACTGCCCAACACAGTGGTGTCCAGCCAGTCCAACACCATGAAAGTCACATTCTTCTCCGACAACTCCTTTGTGGACAGGGGCTTCTCAGCGCAGTACGAGGCCTTCGACCCCACTGACCGTGAGTCTCTTGACCTCTTGCCCCAGT